GAGATTACTTAAAAAAAAAAAAAAAGAAGGAAAAAGGGAGAGAATGGAGCCCTTATTAAATGTGTGGCTTCTGCCTCTTCTATTACATGTGTTCTTTACACCAACCACATAGACTGGGTGTGGGGGTTTTTTGTTTGTTTGTTTTTTGTTTTTTTGTTTTTTTAAATGGGAAAACAGGCCAAAATGTAACTTGCCCAAGGTCATAGGTTGTAGCCTGTCTCCAAAGTGCTCAGCACAGCAAGCACGTGGCTGCTCCCACCAGTTTGGTGCAGGGGGACCAGGGCAAGAGCAGGACTCACGGACACTCAGTCAGTGTTTGCTCTCTGCTCTTGCCCAGCATCTCTCTTCCTTTTGGTTCTTGGACTTTTTATTTTATGTGACTTGTGCCCTTACATATCACTCTATAACAACTATTATTTATAACCTTCAAGGACAGCTAAACTATTTTATTGTGGTAGGATTTGGTTAAACTAAATAAATGTCCAGGATTTATATTCCTAGCCTACAGGAAATTGGGAGAAATAGCTACTCAAGTAAACTTAGAGAAAGAAATGAAAGAGCTTGCATCTTGGGTTAGAGGACACGAGAAGTGAGGAAGAAACCCATGAGTTAGTAAGGATTCTTAGCTATTCTTGCCTCCCTCCCCAGCCAAACAAAAGCCAAGCAAATTCATTGCAAATAGCAACATGTTACATAGGATGCCCCTGCCAGTACTTGGGAACAGCAAATAGCAGAAGTGCAGCATGAGGCAGGAGTGACGGGCATCTCTGGGAGTCTCTGCTGTGACAGTTGTCTGTTTTTGCTTATTTTTGACTTATGTAACCCCACTGGGTTTAGAGTAAGGATGTATTCTCCAGAGGGAACAAAGACTGAAAAAAAACCAAACAGTTGTTATTTAAACTCTTTGCAGTCTTATCAGAATTCTTGATGGCATTTATGCCAAATTGAGGTATTTTATCTTTGCTTCTTGCAGAAGCAAGATCCCACGTTCACGTACGAGGTGATAGTAGTTGATGATGGCAGCAAAGACCAAACTTCAAAGGTAAGTAAACTTGCTTTTAGGATTGCCAGTAGATAGAAATGTAGAATAATTTAACAAATGTAAAGTCTTATTTCTGGTCATCAGAGAGTGCTAAAGCTGTGCCAGCACTCTCTGTTGTTACAGTGTGGGTAGTCAAAAAAGCAGAGAGGTTTCACCTATGGAAAGCTGGAAGATAAACCTGCTGTTCTACCACTCCATAAGACCAGGGAAGCTTTGAAGATCATCACATTGGGAGAAAACATGTACAACAACAATTCACCTTGGCCACTGGGACCCTTCTTTGCCTACCAATATATGGTTCCTTTTTTCTTAAGCATCATTTTTTTTTCTTTATACTCCACCTTGCCTTACAGTTTCTAGGCAGTCATGCAAATAGGAAGATGCCTTCATATCTGGCAGTGGGTATCAGATATGTCCTTTGGCATACCTCTATCTGGATTTACCCACAGGAGGTAACAAGTATCTTAGAGTATTATCCTCTCTCATTCCTGCATTCTTAGACCTATAGCTCCTAAGCTGCTAAAAAAAACCTAAAAGCTGGTCTGCCAGGAGGGCAAACAGCAGATGAGAATAACTTCACACTCTCTATGGAGATGAGGGTCAAAAGGAGAAGGTGTTGGGGCACCTGGCTGGCTCAGTTGGTAGAACATGTGACTCTTGATCTCAGGGTCATGAGTTCAAGCCCCATATTGGGCATGGAGCTTACTTTAAAAAATGAGGGGGAGGGCTGTTGATGAAGATAGGTTATATAGAAAGGCGATGTGGAAAAGCAAAGGGCATGGACCATACTACAATGGGTTGATGACTAAATGAGTGATGAAGAGATGTGTGTAGCAAATACAGATCACTGTTTCACGGCTTTGATTGTAAATCAAAAAATAATGGCAGTTGAGTGAAAAGATTTGGGGGAAATATTCCAGGATATGAGCAACTTCTGTGGGGAGTAAGATCAGTTGCTGACACGTAAGTAAGTCATTAAGCAGTAAGCGGCAGGGTCAGGGGGAGGATCACAAGTGTGTACCAGTCGATCAACGCATGGGTTTTATTTTCTCAAGCAGCTCATTAGCATAAATAAAGGAGTCAAAATAAGAGACAGCCACTGCGTCTTCTGTTGTTGCCTCTGCAGAAAGGTGAATTGTGACTTCAACCTAGTGGGTTGAAGGAATTCAACAACTCTGGGCCACTAAAATGTACAGTGTGTATAATCTAGTCAGAAGAACAGTGTAACGGAAATAGCAGTATTTAAGCCAAACTCAGAAACCTGGTTTACTGTCTTAGAATCCAAGTTGATATTATTCTGACTTTTGTATAATTTGACAGGTAGCTTTTAAATATTGCCAGAAATACGGAAGCGACAAAGTACGAGTGATCACGCTGGTGAAGAATCGTGGGAAAGGCGGAGCTATTAGGATGGTAATACATAGTTTCAGCATTTTAATCTAAAACGTAAACATTTTTTAATAAATTCTTTTGCAGACTAATATGTTTGTTTTCTACAGCTGTCTAATTGAATACCACCATTTCAGGTTAGTGGTGAATTAGTTTTAACAAGAACTTCATATACTTATCTATATATAATGTGATCAAATCTTAAAAATCATGCCATATCTATGATATACTGGGTAATTCAGGAGAATAGGTGTATCTTAATCAAAATTTATAATGTTATCATCTGCCTCTGTGTGTCTTTAATACAGTCACCAGATAATAAGAGTATATGATTTTTTTGCAGTTTATAAAATGCTTTTACATATTAAGGTTTACCTATATGAAGACACTGTGCTTAACATGGTACCTGAACTAAGATAAATCTGATGTGGGTCTATCTTGATGAAATTGGCAGTCTGCTAGAAAAGATGATTATACTGATGAGAGGTACACATGATGTGTTATAGAAATTCCAAAAGGAATAGGTTACTTTCAGCTGAGGCATGTCAGGTAGAAGTCAAGATACTCTGAAGAAAGACCACAAGTCAAGATATGTGGAAGAAAATCCAAATAGTGTCTTAAATGATTTAGAGGTTTATTTTATTTTGCTCCCCCCCCCAAAAGAACTCTAAGTACAAGCAGTCCAGGGCTTATTCAGCAACCCCACTGTGTCATCAGAAACTCTGCCTCCTAACTTTTCACTCCCTTTTTCCTCATTCACACAAGGTGACTCCTGGAGTACCTGGGAGCCATTACATCCACATTCCAGATAAGAAGGAGAGGGGCAGAGGGCAAAAGACATATGCTGGCTGGTTTGCCCCCTTTTGGGGAACTTTCCTAGAAGCTCCATCTAAAAATTTACTTAATTGTCATTGGCCAGAACAGTGTCCCAAGGCCACCCCTATTTCCAAGGAAGGCTGAGAAATGGTTTTTCCTCACATTTTCATTCCTGACCTGATGAGACATCCATTAGTAAAACAGAAGGAAAAAATAGATTTTGAGTAGGTAACTATCAGTCTCAAGCACATGTCAAGCAAACTTGACAAAGGAGATACCACTGAAGCCAAGCCTCCAGCAATGGTGAAAACTGGCTTCCACCTGGTTATTCCACTCGACTGGTCATTTTCAGCTGGACAGTAAATTAGCCACTTCAACATAATTATCACATTTAACCCTCCTCATATTGTCTCATGAGTTAGGTCCTACTTTTCAATTACTTAGTTGAGGGAAGTGACACATAGTAAAGCAACTTACCAAGGTCACAGGGTTATTAATAGTCAGAATGAAGATTTAGATTAGGTTAGTACCCTGAAATCCATACTCTTAACCTAACATCTCTGTTAGTGTGTGGGAAATGTTGAGAGAAGAGCAGCAAGACAGAATTCAGAACTCTTGGAATACATACTAGGAACAGTGAGCTTGCTCTGACTAGGTCATAAGCCATGCAAAGAGGAGAAAAAGAAAATAGGGTTGGTGTAATATCATGGTGGCCTTTAAATCCATCCATTCACTTATTAGAGATACTTAGATGAAAGACAACCATCCTATCCTTAAAGATACCATACTTTAATAGTGTTGTAACGCTGTAATAGAATGGCGCCACTTTCCAGCTGGGAGGAACAGCTGGAGACTTCCCGTAGGAGGTAAATTCTGCACAGAATCTTCAAGGAAGACTAGAAATTCTATCCAGGCAAAAGTTGGGGCAGGGAGCTTGCAGAGGAGGGACATGACCAAAGGTATGAGAGAAAGCACTACAATCATGAACTGCTAGTGGTACATGTGGGTTGACTTTATAGGAGTAAGTTCAAGGGGGTAGGTGGGTTCATATCCTGAACTTTTAGGGTAGGGACTTATAGGCTTTCACCTTTGACAGAGTGACAGTAGCCAGCACAGTAGTGTAAGCAAGGTACAAGTGGATTGTTAATTTGGATTATGATGGTGATGCAGCATCAGAAGAGGAGAGACCAATATGGTAGGGGTGGAGGGCAAAAATGAGATAGAATTGTATCAGGTGATCAGGGAGAGGAATAAGTTACCTAAGACCTTGGAGGAGGCCAAGGAGAAGGAGAATGTCATAGAAGGAATGAAACACTGGAGAAGGAGCTGATTTAAAAGACAACTTTAATTGAGTTTGAGCCATATTAAGGTTGAGATACCATGTAGTGGTATCCAGAATAGCCTGGTAGAGAAGATGTGAGTGAGTAGTCCACATGCATCAGATGGTAGTTGAACCCATTAAGTTGGCAAGGAAGAAGGTATAGAGAAAAAGGACAGCTGGAAACCAAGCCTTGGGGAAATGCGGCTCATGAGGAAGAACAGTGCAAGCAGTGAGAAGGGATAGGGTGTGATTGAATGGACAGGAATGGGAAGTGCTAGGATAGACTACCTTTTCAAGAAGTTTGGTGGTGAAGTGAAGGCCATTGTCGGTAGAGTGGAGAATAGCCAGCATTGAAGAACCTCCTTTAAAAAATAAAATAATATGGGTGTCTTGGTGGCTGAGTTGGTTGAGTGTCTGACTCTTAACTTCTGCTCAGGTCATGATGCCAGGATCATGAGATCAAGTCCCGTGTTAAGCTCTGTGCTGAGCGTAGAGCCTGCTTGAGATTCTCTCTCTCTGTCTCTCTCTCTCTCTCTCTGTCTCTCTCCCTCTCCCTCTCCCCCTCCTTCCCTCCTCCCCCCTCCCTCTCTCTTTCCCTCCTCCCTCCCTCTCTCCCTCACTCTCTCTCTCCTCTCCCCACCTCCCTTTCCCCCCATGCTCCCCCACCTCTCTCCCCTGGTCATGCTCTCTCTCTTTCTCTAAAATAAAAAATTTTTTAAAAGATAAAATAATAAAGTGGACTAAACAAGATTTAAAGCCAAAGACATTTTCCATAATGTTAAATAATTACCTCCAGTTCACCCTTAACATGTATTGCTGAAATAGTCCTTTGTTGTTTTTTTTTCAGTTTTTTTTGTCCAGATGTTAAACAAAACATTTTTATTCTGCCTTTTCACCTGTATTCTTTTTTTTTTTTTTTTTTTTTGAAAGAGAGCGAGAGAGAAAAAAGAGAGTGCGAGCAGGGAAGAGGGGCAGAAGGAGAGGGAGAGAGAGGGAGAGAATCTTAAGCAGGCTCCACACTTAGCACAGAGCCTGACTCAGAGCTCAGTCCCACAACCCAGGAATCATGACCTAAGCAGAAATCAAGAGTGGGATGCTCAAAAGACTCAACTACCCAAGCCCCCTCACCTGTATTCTAACTGATATGACTAAAAAAAAAATTACAGAAACTAATTAGTGGGCTTATCCCATAGAATAAATGATCAAAGTTTTGTCTACATTTGTATATATCTTATCTATATTCACATACTGTTAAGTAATATCAGAAGCTATATTTCTCCTGTATCAAGCCATACATATATTTATACTTAAGAAACAATGAATTCACTCAAATGGACCATGAATTAAGAGTTGATGTATAGTTTGTTTCCATGTAAAATGTACACTGATAGAGCCATATTTTGCACAAAAGGCCAATTGATTCAGTATTGAGAGGCATAATTTTGCTAAGTGTCAGATGATTCAAATAACATAAAATAGTATTTGGATATATCCATGCTTCCCAAATTTTAGTGACATTCCATATTTCTTTGTTCAACAATTAATTTAAACTGCTTTAGATTCCATAATAAAGAATACTGGGGTGCCTGGGTGGCTCAGTCTGTTAAGCCTCCGACTTTGGCTCAAGTCATGATCTCATGGTTGGTGGGTTCAAGCCCCATGTCAGGCTCTGTGCTGACAGCCCAGAGCCTGGAGCCTGCTTTAGATTCTGTGTCTTCCTTTCTCTCTGCCCCTGGCCTGCTCATTATCTGTCTCTCAAAAATAAACGTTCAAAAAAACAAAGAATACTAAAGATCTATCTGATGGTGGGTTTCACAGCAAGTCTGTATATATTGTATTTGTTCAATCCACTCATAAATATGTTCTTCATATGCTGTCCTAAAGTAGCTCCTGATATGCACACAACACATATATAACATATATGATAGATATTTTACTTTTGTTCTTACTGATGTGGGATATCTTTTATTCATCCAAATCTATATTCCTATCATGGTATATTCCAAAGTAATAGTGGTAGGACCTCACAAAGTTTTTAAAATCATGAACTAGGCATTAGATACATTTGGAAGAATCTTACCAATGTAATTTGTTTTCAGGGAACTTTGGCATCCTGCCATTTCACACCTAGTATTAGATATGAGATTATCTAATATTAGTTATCTTAAGTCAAGCAGAACAAACTGATATGTCATTGGATTTAGCCTTAATTTTAAGCAACTTTCTTTTAATTGAAATGTTTAAATACAGGGTATATTCAGTTCTCGAGGAGAAAAGATCCTTATGGCAGATGCTGATGGAGCCACAAAGTTTCCAGATGTTGAGAAATTAGAAAAGGGACTGAATGATCTACAGCCTTGGCCTGTGAGTATGAGAATATAGATTAAATAATCTTCAGTCAAGAACACGGGGAGTCTAAAGTAACATTAAAATGGAATTTACAGGAGTGCCTGGGTGGCTCAGTTGGTTAAGGATCCCGACTCTTGATCTCAGGTCTTGATCTCAGGGTTGTGAGTTCAAGCCCCATGCTGGGTGTGAAGCGTACTTAAAAAACAAAACAAAACAAAAAACTAACAAAAAAATGGAATTTACATATAAGTTTAAAAACTGGTGTTTTTTTTTGTGTGTGACATTCCTGTATACGGTCCCACAGAAAAGCTAACCATTTTATTTTTTTATTTTTATTTTTTTTTAATTTTTTTTTTCAACGTTTATTTATTTTTTGGGACAGAGAGAGACAGAGCATGAACGGGGGAGGGGCAGAGAGAGAGGGAGACACAGAATCGGAAGCAGGCTCCAGGCTCTGAGCCATCAGCCCAGAGCCCGACGCGGGGCTCGAACCCATGGACCGCGAGATCGTGACCTGGCTGAAGTCGGACGCTTAACCGACTGCACCACCCAGGCACCCCGTAATCATTTTATTATAAACATTCACTGATGGTCTGAGATTTACTTAACAATTACTTATTTAATATTCTGGCCATATCACTCCATTTTCAATCCCTTCTATCAGAGTTTTAATATTTATTATCTATATATTCAGCTAAGGCTTTTATTTAAAAGCATAGATGGAGCCTCCCAGGTAAAGATGTGAAATGAAACTGGATCACAGAGACTTGGTTTTGATGAAACAGACCTAAGCAGGAACCACTCAGTAAAGATCATGTGCACCTTCATGACATAGTTTCAAAAAGTAGAGATAGACTTTTATTCAGCATTTGAGATTCATCCATATTGCTATGTTTATCAATAATTTGTTCCTTTTAATTGCTCAACAGTATTCCATTGCTTGGGTGTATGACAGTTTGTTTATCCATTCAACTGTTGAAGGACATTTGGGTTGTTTCCAGCATTTGGCAATTACGAATAAAGCAGGTATCAATGTTTCATTAAAAAAAAAAAAAAGTGGAAGTTAAAGAAAGAAAACTCCTGGTGCCACTTCCACTCTTTATTTTTTTTTTTTTTAATTTTTTTTTTTAATGTTTATTTATTTTTGAGACAGAGAGAGACAGAGCATGAACGGGGGAGGGTCAGAGAGAGGGAGACACAGAATCTGAACAGGCTCCAGGCTCTGAGCTGTCAGCACAGTGCCCAACGCAGGGCTTGAACTCATGGACTGCGAGATCATGACCCGAGCCGAAGTCGGCCGCTTAACCGACTGAGCCACCCAGTCGCCCCCCATTTCCACTCTTTAAAGGCCATTTAGATATATTGAAAATAAAAAAAATAAAAAAATAAATATATATATATGTATATATATATATATATATATATATAGAAAAAAATAAATAAAAATAAAGGCCATTTAGAGAAAGACGAATTTACCACATTCTGAGCTTTTTACCAAATAGTCCCAACCTGGAAAGAATCAGACTGAGACATTGAAAAAGCACCCTGGGACAACATTAATCAGTACACCTACCTGCTATCACACAGTATCCCAGGATTTCAATAGCAGCAAGAAAAACTGCTAGGGCTTGCCAGTTTCAGGGCTTCAAGCTCAGTTAGGGCACAGATCCATGTGATTAGACCCCTTCCTCAGTGGAGTGTATCCTTGTACAGGACATGGGAAAATCTCACAATAACAAAGAACCCATATAACCCACCAAAGCTACACTGAGCTCTAAGGGAGCTCCCTCCTTCCCCCAGGTGTAATATTCAGGCCTTGAAACTCTAGTTCAGAGGGGGAAAACCAGGGGCTACCAAAGGTAGAAGTACAGGTTTCCCCTGCTATCCAGAAGCAGAGTGTTCTCATTTGTAAGCCCAGATGGCATAAAGCAAAGAAGCAATTACCATTAATTCATGTGGAAAATGTTTTTGAATGTTCCCTGACCCAAAAAATAACCTCCCTTAGGCTTTTCTGACACCTTAAGACACAGCTACTGTCAGTCTTTTATAAAAGCAACATGGCCTAACAAGAACTTTTGAAAAGCGGGGGATACCTGTGTATCAAGGAAAATTCCCTTGTACTGTACAAGTGCTACCCATGTTAGTCACGACAAAATGAAATAAATGTCAGCTATACCAACATATTACTATAGAAAAAGAAAGTTTCATACCAAAGTATTTTTGCTGAACAAATAATGAAAATAATTCAGCAACACAGGCATTTGAAAGAGTGAGGACAAAACAGAATGATATTAAAAGAGACGCCACAGAAAATTTTCATAAATTTAATACCCTCATGATTGTCAAGAGGATTGTCCTAGTTCTCCCCAGTTCTCCCCTAGTCCTTCCCAGAGAACTGACAAAGATTTGGTAAATGTTTCTAATGCATTATGCCTCTAGCTTGGGGGAGCCATGAGTGGGAGGGAGGATGGAAGATGTCAGGTTGTTTGCAGCTGACTTTGTGTCATTCTACGTAGGGCAAAGAAAAATTAAGTAATTTAGCCAAAGTCAGAGGGTGAACCAAACAATAAACAGGAGAAAAATCTGAACCTTCTGTGAATCCCAATTCCCTTTATACAACTCTGAAAAGGAAAGGAGTTCTGATGCCATCCTTTTCATTATCATAAGCTAATTTACTGCATTGTTACTGTAAATATCGAGTTTTAAAGAATGAAAGCATTTGATGATGATTAAACTTTTAATTCACAGCCTTGGTCTACAGCACCTCACAATATGTCTAATTATTTAAGAGTATATCACAATTCACTTGAATGAATTTGAACTCAGTTTATTAAGAATTTTAATCAATATGCATCATATATCTCTTTTTGAAGGAGGCAGAGAAGTGACAGAGTTCTAAAATCCACTGTCTGGATCAACTCAGTAATAATTATTTTTGAATTGGGATGCTGTCTACTCATAATTATGACAAAACTCATAAACAGTCGGGCATTACTCAGAAAACTTGTACTCTGAAGCTAACATTCATAGAGGAATTAGAAGAAATCTTCATTATCTAATTCAGAGGTTGGCAGACCTCTTCGGTAAAGGCCCACAGAGTGAATATTTTCAGCTTCAAAGCCATACAGTGTCTGTTGCTACTCAACCCTGACTGTAGCACAAAAGCAGACCTAGATAATACATAATTGAATGACCATGCCTGTGTTCCAATAAAACTTTATTTACAAAACCAAGCAGCAGGCCAGATTTGGGCCACAGCCTATAGATTACAGACCCTTGGGCTAATTCAGTCATTTATCTAGTAATGGAAACTTTTTATAATTACCAAGTGATCTTTTAGTCTTTGCTTGCATAGCTGTAGTGATGCCCAAGCAGCCCATGTATCTCAACTCAGTTACAGAGTTCCTTTTTGCATTAAATGCAAATATGCCTCCTTTTGATATCCCCTTTGGTTGGTTCTGTTTTTCATAGCTACACAAAATAGTCTACTTCTCCTTTGTGACAGCCTTTTGGAGAGTTAAAGCGATTTCCATGTGTCTTCTCTATTCTAAGCTGTCAATAGTTCTTCCAGTTTTCAAACAGCATATTTCTTTTTGTTATCATCCTGGTCATTTTCCACTGAAGATGTTTCAGTTAGCATGGATCTGGTTATACTGCATTTACATTGTTACCTCATGTAGCCAACTCTTTCATATGCAGTGCCATTGCCATTGAACCTTGTCTCCCTATCCTCAAACTGGCACAGTTAGTTTTGTTTCTGTGTTTCTTTTGCCTTGTTTTATTTAGGAACAGAAGTGTGGCTCTTTATTAAACATCAGCATATTTGATTTCTGTTTCTTAGGGTGTAGGGCTTTTTTTCCATCTTTAATGAAATTGCCATTCCCTTCTCAATGAAGTCACAAATCTGATAAGCGTGGCTTGCATATATTCCCTTGAGCCCAAATAAAAATTGACTAGAATTTTCAGAACTAGTTCTGAAAATAATGAAACAAGAACATGGGTTTCAAAGTAGTGAAGTCCTGTTATGACCACATGACTAACCCACTAGATACTAACCCACTAGTACTAATCTACTACACAATAGTTAAATGTCTTTTACAGCATTGTGTTGACTCTCCAGAACATTTGTAATGGCTTCTAATGTTTTTTCAGTTGATTTTATTTTTAATTGCAACAAAAAGAAATTAACTACTACTTTGTACTTTTAATTCCTCTTAGAGTTCTGGTCAGATTATTCTTAATGAATTTAGAAAAGTTGCTTGCAATTTCTTCTCTGAAGAAGGTCTTTTAAGGTTTTAAATTAAATATATGTAATTTAGGTAGAGTTTTGTGTAACACACAAATAAAATAGGATTTACATTTAGTTCCAAATACTTTATCTGTATATCTTTTTTCTTTAAGTGCAAAGCTTTTATCCTAGCTTTTCAATTTCTTTTTTTTTCCTTTTTTTTTAATTTTTTTTTTTTTTAATTTACATCCAAATTAGTTAGCATATAGTGCAACAATGATTTCAGGAATAGATTTCTTAATGCCCCTTACCCATTTAGCTCATCCCTCCTCCCACAACCCCTCCAATAACCCTCTGTTTGTTCTCCATATTTAAGAGTCTCTTATGTTTTGTCCCCCTCCCTGCTTATTTTTTGTTTCCTTCCCATATATGTTCATCTGTTTGATTCTTAAAGTCCTCATGGGTAGAGTCATAAATCTTGTGCTTTCTCTGACTGACTAATTTGGCTTAGCATAAAGCACCCTCAGTTCCATCCACATAGTTGCAAGCGTGAATTTCATTCTTTTGATTACTGGTAATACTCCATCGTGTGTGTGTGTGTGTGTGTGTGTGTGTGTGTGTCTTGTAGCCTTGGCGTGTATGTCTTCCTCACATCCTTCTTTAGCCATTCATCCATTGATGGACATTGGGCTCTTTCCATACTTTCCAAACTTTCCATACTTTCCATACTGTTGATAGTGCTGTCAACATTGGGGTGCATGTGTCCCTTCGAAACAGCACACCTGTA